CAGAAAGTAGTGTCTGAGCCTCCTCGCAGCATTGACGAGGGCCAGTGCAACCTTTTCTATCTGTTGATACCTGCTCTCGGGGCCTTGTAAGGCTTTGCTCGTGAAGTAGACAGGTTTCTGCCCGTCTGGAGTCTCGCGGACAAGAGCTGCACTAATGGCTTCGTTTGAAACTGCCAAGTATAGGTAAAGTGGCTCGTTGTCATCTGGTCGAGAGAGTACGGGCGGTTGAGATAGGCTCTGCTTCAGGTGGCGGAGTGCGTGCTCGCATTCCTCGGTCCATTCGAAGGCTGCTTCCTTTCGAAGGAGTTTGAAAAAGGGAAGGGCGTGCTGAGCGGACTTCGCGACGAAGCGCGAAAGTGATGTCAACATGCCGTTCATTATCTGTATCGACTTCTTCGATGTTGGAGTCGGAAGGTCGGCGAATGCCCGGCACTTGTCGGGGTTGGCTTCAATCCCTCGTTCTGTTAGATAGAACCCGAGGAATTTCCCTGCCTTAACCCCAAATGTGCACTTCTCGGGGTTGAACCTCATTTTGCATTGTCTTGCTTGGGCGAAGACAGTCTTGAGATGAGCTGCGTGATCGGTGTCTGCTCGAGATTTGACGATCATGTCGTCCATGTATACCTCGAGCATGTCGCCGATCTGTTTGTTGAACACTTTGTTCATCATGCGTTGGTACGTCGCGCCGGCATTCTTTAGTCCGAAGGGCATTACGTTGTAGTAATAGTTGCCCGAGCTGGTCATGAATGCCGTGCAGCGTTTGTCGCCCGGAGCCATTGGGATTTGATTGTATCCCGAGTAAGCGTCCATGAACGACAAAGTTTTGTAGCCGGCCGAGTTGTCGACCAGCATATCAATGTTCGGTAGAGGAAAAGCATCCTTCGGGCAAGCCCGATTGAGATCGGTATAATCAACACACATACGCCATTTTCCATTATTCTTTTTGACAAGTACAACATTTGACAGCCAGGTGGAATACCGGGCTTCAGAAATAAAATTTGCCTCTAAGAGGTCTTTTACAGCTTTTTCAGCAGCCTCCGTTTTTTCTGGAGACTGCCTACGCCTACGTTGTACTACTGCCTTGGCGGCTGGATCAATGGCGAGGTGATGACAGGCGACCTCAGGGTCGAGTCCGGGCATCTCTGCAGCGCTCCAGGCGAAGAGATCAGCATTCTCGCGCAGACAGGCCTTGATCTGCTTTCTGGCCAAGTCGGGGAGGTCCTTGCCGATCTTCACCCCCTTGGTCGGGTCTGCTCCGAGGGGAACGAGTTCGAAATCACCGTCCGGAATAGGTCGGAGGGGGATTTGCTCGCTGCTGGCCGGTTCATCTTGGTCAAAACGGGCGTCGAGCGCAATGGAGTCGACCTTTGGTGGAGCCTTCTGAACCTCTACTTCAGGAGATGCTGTGTCGGGCTCTTGCTTTGTCTTCTTGATGGGCCTAGTGCTGGGACCCACGTCGACAGTATCCCGACCCCTTGAAGCGGCGTTGAAGCACCGGCGGGCAGCAGCGAGGTCGCCCTGGATGGTGGCTACCCTCCCCCTCTTGGTATAGAACTTCATCTTTAGGTGGACAGTTGAGGGGACCGCTGTCAGTTCCGCCAATGTCGGCCTTCCCAAGATGCAATTGTACAGGGATGGGCAGTCAATGACGAGGAAGCGGACCTTCACCTGTCTTGTAGCAGTTCCTTCCCCGAATGTCACGAGGAGCTCGACATATCCCCAAGGTTTGGACGTCGAGCCGTTGAAGCCTTGAAGGTCCGAACCTATATATGGAGACAGATGGGAGTCGTCCAATTGTAAGGTCCGGAACAGCTGGGTGTACATCACGTCGACGGAACTCCCTTCGTCGACCAGGATGCGATGCACGTCAAAATTGGCCATCTTCGCCCTTATCAGCAAGGGGATGACTGCGTTCGGTGCTCCGCCGGGAAGCTCTTCCAAGTAGAATGTGATAGGCTCTGATCTGCCCCTCACCATTTCAAAAGTCACAGTTTGAGGGGGAGCTTTGTCGACCAGTTCGTCCAACTTCCTCTTGGCTGAGTTGATGGTGAGGTCGCTGAACCCGCCCCCGTTGATGACCATGGCGGAGGGGAAGTATTCCCACCTGCTGTGTGTGGTCAGGGGCTCCTGCAGGAGCTCGGGAAGTTCGAAATCCTCGGGCCTGGTTATTGAGAAGGCGGTCTGGATTGGCACCGACTCGTCAGATGGTCGGGCATCTTCTTCGGGCTCCTTTTCCTCGCGGGCTTCACGACGGGGAGCGTCGTTTCTTCTGTACTGTGCCAGTCTCCCTCCTTTGATGAGGGTTTCAATAGCATCCTTCAGGTGGACGCAGTCCTCTGTCAAGTGACCATGACTCCTATGGTACTGACAGTATTTGTTTTTATCTACTCCTGGCTTGGCAGGAGCTGGTCGGGGACGCTTGACGCCACCGTCCTTGAAATCTGTGCTTGCACACTCCGCCAGAATACGCTCGCGGGAAGCCGTGAGCGGAGTGTACTCAGTAAACCTGCCCGAGGGGCCCCTTTGTTCCCGGACCTCCCGGGGTCTGTCTTCCTTCCTCTTCTCTCCGGTGCGTCGGGGAGGAGGGTCTTGTCTCGAGCTGCTGCCGTGGTTGCGAGCCCTGGAGTCTCGTGCCCTGTTGGCAGCTTCTCTCTCCTCGTAGTCCATATACGCTCGGGCTTTGTCGAGGAGAGCATCAAAAGTTGCAGGTGGCTCGATGCCTACAGCTTTCCTGAATTCGGTGCCGGGGAGGAGGCCCCTCTCCAGCAAATACCTCTTCATGTGGTCCGCGCAGGGGACCTGTATTGCTTCCCGGTTGAAGCGGTTGATGAATTCCCTCAAGGTCTCATCATGCCTTTGAATGATGGCCTCGAGGGCTGCCTCAGTCTTTGGATGGCGACGAGACGCTGTGAAGGAGCTGATGAACTGGTTCTTCAAGTTCCTCCACGAGGTGATGGAGCCCGGGGCAAGTCCCTTGTACCAGTCCATGGCCGCCTTCCTGAGAGTTGTTGGGAAGAGGCGGCACTTGATGGGACCCCCGACATTGTGATAGTGGAGCATGGCTTCGAACCCGTCAATGTGGTCGACTGGGTCCGCCACTCCATCATACTCCTTTAGGTGTGGGGGCTTCTCCATGCCCGGGGGGATAGGTGCGTCCATGATTGCCTGCGACAGGGGACCGCGGGGGTCGTCCTCGTCGCTCCTTTCTGGAGAAAGAGAAAGGGTCCTGTAGTTGTGTCGGGCACGTTGCTCGTGCTGGGATTCCCTTGAACGTGATGTTCGGTGGGCGAAGGTCACATGTCCGTCTCTGTTGTGCCTCCGGTCGTGCCTTGATGGGTCGCGAACGGGCTCTTCGGCAGGAATGACGGGCTGTCTTTCATACTGGGGCCGCCTCTGCTTTGGTGCGGGAGAGGGGCTCCTAGAGTGTTCCCTGTACTGTCTCCGCGGGGGAGTAGGGTGTCGAACTTCTTCGACCCGAGGAAGTGGAGATGGTGGCCTTTGATGCCTCCTCGGGGGGCGTCGATCATTTTCCAGCGCCCTAAGTCTTTCTCCTTGCGCGAACAGGAGATAGTTCGTCTGGTTGATGGCCGCGAACAGTGCCTGAGCTGTGGCATCTGCCCCGGCAGGGGCTTGGACTTTATAGAACCGGGCAGCCTGGCGATAGGCGAGGGCCTCCGGATCGTCTTCAAGTCCTGGAGGAGTTGTCGAGGAGGACGCAGTGTTCCCGTCCCTGCGGGTGGAAGGTCCAGGGGCGGTTGTCAGGGGGGCGGCATTGTGGCCGGCGCCACTGGGATTGTCCAGGTGCCCATTCTTGTCCGCGGGACCGTTGTTGGCGTCGAGGACGCGAGAGTGTTGTTCTTCACGAGTTGGAGAGGCCATGACAGTGAATGGATTGAGCTTTGGTCTTTGAAAACTATTCGTTAGACGGGGAAGCTGTTTCCCACAGACGGCGCCACTGATCTGACCTGATCAGAAGGTTTGGACCGTCACGGCTGCTCCGAGCTGAAGGCTTTTAGAACGAGGAGGGGGGGGGGTACCTGCAAGGCACTCCGATGCTTAAGTCAGTGGGAGTACTAGCAGATAATAGAATTGAGGTTAGAAATGATGATTACCTGACCCTCTGGAAACAGAGGGTATTTATAGCCCCCAGCGCTGGGCCAAGGTTCCTTCATTGGGCCGGGCGGATTTGGCCCAATGGAGGAACTGCCAGGTTCTACGTGGGTAGTGGGGATCAGCACGTGGTCCCCTTCCTGGAGGTGCTGCGTGAAGTGCGGGCGGACAGAGACGCGGTCTTTACGGAGTATCGTTGGGGCAATAGAGGACTAAGTCTGCCCTAGCAAGGTAGCTCGAGTCCATGTCGAGCAGTGCAGCATGGTGTCGACCTCGACGCCAAGACCCCGAGCTGGACAGCGAATGTCGAGCTGGAAGCCAGGGCATAGAGCTGGACGGCAGTCTGTCGAGCGTGGCTTCGTAGCGTGGGCTGGACACTGAGATGTCGAGGTGGACATCAGGGTGTCGGGCATGGACGTTGTGGTCCTTAGTGAGTCCCATTGGATTGGGCCTTTGCCCATTGTGGTCCTTGGTGAGTCCCATTGAACTGGGCCTTAGTAATGCTTTTGGGCATGTCGGGCCCAGTCCAGAACACTAACCATAATTCTATTTTAAAAATAAAAACTAAAACAAAGACATCCTGCATAAAAGGGGAAAAGTGTCGCCCCAATGCATCACCAATACCCTATCTTTTTTCTGAATTTTTTTTAATGGACGAATTGTAGCATGACGCTTGGCATGGATTAAAGAAAAAAAATAAAACAAAATGACTATTGCATAAAATACAAAGAGAGTGAGGGTTATAAAATACTTAGAATTGTTTTTTCGTTTTCCACTTACCAATCTTTGTTCATTTTTTCTTTCAATCCTTCATTGTTTCCCGCAAAAAAAAAACAAATTCAAACGGTGACGGAGTCCACAAGCGAAGGAACGGTTACGGCTCTTCGGAGATGGCCATGATTTCCGATAGATGCAAGAGGTGTACGGCGGTTCGTGGTTGCGGATCGGAAGCTCATCGGGCTGAGCGCGATGGCGATAACAGGTCTGGCCGTCGGAAGGAGTTCATCGGTGTTGAAGCGGCGTGATGAAGTCACGGGCTGCAGTGGACATCACGGGCGCGGCTATTTGTGGAGGTCGTCGAGGCATCGAAGGTTGTCGCGTGCTGGCTTGAGATCGATGGTGGCTAGAAGACGACAGATCACGGGTGGTTAATTTTGTGATGCAATCGAAGGCGGAGTGTGGCGGCGGAGTGTTGTGGTTTATTATTTAGAGATGGTGATGATGCTATGTGATGAAGTTGGTGCAAAATGGTAAAAGGTTGTTGATGTAAATCTCTATCGTGGAAAAAAGGTTAACAGTGAGTATGTAAAATGGCCTATTTTTGTTAATTTTGTGGGATCAAAATTAGGAAGTATTTTAACGTTTTGATTTAAGGAAGGTGAATTAGGAAAGAAATCACAGCTGTTGAATGCCAGCAGTAATGTTTCTGCTATTAGTTTGGTAAGTTTTTCTGCAGTTTTAATAAAAATGATTTGTTTCTATTTTTTAGTGTTGATTCGGTAATAAGGGTTGGCATTGTAATGGGGTTTTGATTCTATAATAATGAAGTTTCTGCTTCTGTATGATCTGGTTCTGTGCTTAATTTGCAATTGATTTATTTCTGTTTATGTCTTGTACCGACCCTGCTTAATTAAAGAATAATGAATGCATAACTTATCAACTGATGAAGGCAGTGTAATATGCGTTAGCTGCTCTAAATTTAAACAGTAAATGTTAATGAAATCTGCATTTTTTGTACTGTATATACTTGCCTTGATTTATTTGGGCCACACTTGTTTTTCATTTGGGATTGAATGATTCATTTGATGTCCTTCTTTAACCAAACAAATTATTTAAATATAACAATTCTAAAAAAGAAAATAATGGTAACTGATGATAACATTTAGAAAATGCACATTTAAACAAATATAAAATGAAAATGGGCCACACAGTTTTGGGCCAGTTCAACCTTTTTTTCAAAAATAAATCAAAACATAGAAACAACAAGTCTCTCAAAGAAAAAGAGATATGGGCTAAATGTTTAATCTTTGGGATTTAAACAAAAATAAAATACTTTTATGGGCCAACTGATCAAAACAAAATGCGAACTCCCTTTATCCGTAAAGCGAACGAGTTAATCATTAATGGGCTTTATGATTCATTCATACCTCCTTGGCTAGATAATGCACATGCCTTTTAACTCAAAATAGAACCTATAAAAAAAACTTAATGGGCCATCAGATATTGATGGTCCATTTTGGATCGATACAGTCCTCTTTGATTTTAAACACTCTCATAAAAATAAAAATTATATAATGCAATTTTAAAGAATAGAATCTTAAATATAATTAAGGGTAAAGCAAATTTGGGGCATGACAATTTGCACAATCAAGAGTGTAATAAATTGTTAACAAAATGTAATAGATAGATAGATAGATAGATGTAATAGATAGATAGATAGATAGATAGATAGATAGATAGATAGATAGATAGATAGATAGATAGATAGATAGATAGATAGATGTAATAGATAGATAGATAGATAGATAGATAGATAGATAGATAGATAGATAGATAGATAGATAGATAGATAGATAGATAGATAGATAGATAGATAGATAGATAGATAGATAGATAAATAGATAGATAGATGTAATAGATAGATAGATAGATAGATAGATAGATAGATAGATAGATAGATAGATAGATAGATAGATAGATAGATAGATGTAATAGATAGATAGATAGATAGATAGATAGATAGATAGATAGATAGATGTAATAGATAGATAGATAGATAGATAGATAGATAGATGTAATAGATAGATAAATAGATAGATAGATAGATAGATAGATAGATGTAATAGATAGATAGATAGATAGATGTAATAGATAGATAGATAGATAGATAGATAGATGTAATAGATAGATAGATAGATAGATAGATAGATAGATAGATAGATAGATAGATAGATAGATAGATAGATAGATAAATAGATGTAATAGATAGATAGATAGATAGATAGATAGATAGATAGATAGATAGATAGATAGATAGATAGATAGATAGATAGATGTAATAGATAGATAGATAGATAGATAGATAGATAGATAGATAGATAGATAGATAGATAGATAGATAGATAGATAGATAGATAGATAGATGTAATAGATAGATAGATAGATAGATAGATAGATAGATAGATAGATAGATAGATAGATAGATAGATAGATAGATAGATAGATAGATAGATAGATAGATAGATAGATAGATAGATAGATAGATAGATAGATAGATAGATAGATAGATAGATAGATAGATAGATGTAATAGATAGATAGATAGATAGATAGATAGATAGATGTAATAGATAGATAGATAGATAGATGTAATAGATAGATAGATAGATAGATAGATGTAATAGATAGATAGATAGATAGATAGATGTAATAGATAGATAGATAGATAGATAGATAGATAGATAGATAGATAGATAGATAGATAGATAGATGTAATAGATAGATGTAATAGATAGATAGATAGATAGATGTAATAGATAGATAGATGTAATAGATAGATGTAATAGATAGATAGATAGATAGATGTAATAGATAGATAGATGTAATAGATAGATAGATAGATGTAATAGATAGATAGATGTAATAGATGTAATAGATAGATGTAATAGATAGATAGATAGATAGATAGATGTAATAGATAGATGTAATAGATAGATAGATAGATAGATAGATGTAATAGATAGATGTATAGATAGATAGATAGATAGATGTAATAGATAGATGTAATAGATAGATAGATAGATAGATAGATAGATAGATAGATAGATAGATAGATAGATAGATAGATAGATGTAATAGATAGATAGATAGATGTAATAGATAGATAGATAGATGTAATAGATAGATAGATAGATAGATAGATAGATGTAATAGATAGATAGATAGATAGATAGATAGATAGATAGATAGATAGATAGATGTATAGATAGATAGATAGATAGATAGATAGATAGATAGATAGATAGATAGATAGATAGATAGATAGATAGATAGATAGATAGATAGATAGATAGATAGATAGATAGATAGATAGATAGATAGATAGATAGATAGATAGATAGATAGATAGATAGATAGATAGATAGATAGATAGATAGATAGATAGATAGATAGATAGATAGATAGATAGATAGATAGATAGATAGATAGATAGATAGATAGATAGATAGATAGATAGATAGATAGATAGATAGATAGATAGATAGATAGATAGATAGATAGATAGATAGATAGATAGATAGATAGATAGATAGATAGATAGATAGATAGATAGATAGATAGATAGATAGATAGATAGATAGATAGATAGATAGATAGATAGATAGATAGATAGATAGATAGATAGATAGATAGATAGATAGATAGATAGATAGATAGATAGATAGATAGATAGATAGATAGATAGATAGATAGATAGATAGATAGATAGATAGATAGATAGATAGATAGATAGATAGATAGATAGATAGATAGATAGATAGATAGATAGATAGATAGATAGATAGATAGATAGATAGATAGATAGATAGATAGATAGATAGATAGATAGATAGATAGATAGATAGATAGATAGATAGATAGATAGATAGATAGATAGATAGATAGATAGATAGATAGATAGATAGATAGATAGATAGATAGATAGATAGATAGATAGATAGATAGATAGATAGATAGATAGATAGATAGATAGATAGATAGATAGATAGATAGATAGATAGATAGATAGATAGATAGATAGATAGATAGATAGATAGATAGATAGATAGATAGATAGATAGATAGATAGATAGATAGATAGATAGATAGATAGATAGATAGATAGATAGATAGATAGATAGATAGATAGATAGATAGATAGATAGATAGATAGATAGATAGATAGATAGATAGATAGATAGATAGATAGATAGATAGATAGATAGATAGATAGATAGATAGATAGATAGATAGATAGATAGATAGATAGATAGATAGATAGATAGATAGATAGATAGATAGATAGATAGATAGATAGATAGATAGATAGATAGATAGATAGATAGATAGATAGATAGATAGATAGATAGATAGATAGATAGATAGATAGATAGATAGATAGATAGATAGATAGATAGATAGATAGATAGATAGATAGATAGATAGATAGATAGATAGATAGATAGATAGATAGATAGATAGATAGATAGATAGATAGATAGATAGATAGATAGATAGATAGATAGATAGATAGATAGATAGATAGATAGATAGATAGATAGATAGATAGATAGATAGATAGATAGATAGATAGATAGATAGATAGATAGATAGATAGATAGATAGATAGATAGATAGATAGATAGATAGATAGATAGATAGATAGATAGATAGATAGATAGATAGATAGATAGATAGATAGATAGATAGATAGATAGATAGATAGATAGATAGATAGATAGATAGATAGATAGATAGATAGATAGATAGATAGATAGATAGATAGATAGATAGATAGATAGATAGATAGATAGATAGTAGATAGATAGATAGATAGATAGATAGATAGATAGATAGATAGATAGATAGATAGATAGATAGATAGATAGATAGATAGATAGATAGATAGATAGATAGATAGATAGATAGATAGATAGATAGATAGATAGATAGATAGATGTAATAGATAGATAGATAGATAGATAGATAGATAGATAGATAGATAGATAGATGAATAGATAGATAGATACATAGATAGATAGATAGATGTATAGATAGATAGATAGATAGATAGATAGATAGATAGATATGTAATAGATAGATAGATACATAGATAGATAGATAGATAGATAGATAGATAGATAGATAAGATAGATAGATAATAGATAGATAGATACATAGATAGATAGATGTAATAGATAGATAGATAGATAGATAGATAGATAGATGTAATAGATAGATAGATAGATGTAATAGATAGATAGATAGATAGATAGATAGATAGATGTAATAGATAGATAGATAGATAGATAGATAGATAGATACATAGATAGATAGATGTAATAGATAGATAGATAGTAATAGATAGATAGATAGATAGATAGATAGATAGAT